GAGGAGATAAAGAAAGACCAAAAGTGAATAAAAAATACTGGAAAAGACCCACCAGAGAATAAGCACTGGAGGCCACCTTTTGTGTTCTCTAAGAGTTCTGCTGAGTGAATAGAGTGCAATAAAACATGCTAAAGTCCAGTTCATTGCGGGGAAGACAGCTTCGATAATGATGGTTTTCAGCTTCCAGAATTCATAGAAACAAAACCCCAGATGAAACGTGGTTATAATGACATTGGAAATAACAGTTATCTTGGCAAAAACTGTAGATTTTCTGTCACTTGCTCCATGTTTTAACTCCTTATCACCACCCTCCCTCCTCCGCTTCAGAAAATCTACCATAATCCATGTCAGTAACAGCATGAAAAAAGCCACATTGACTAGCTTCAGAGAGAGATCCATTAAACCAGACAGCAACACCTAACATAGAGAGAGAAACATACATCAACGTGGTTGCCGTAAAAACAGTAAACACCCAGTTCATATAACAGAATGAAGATTGAAACCAAGAATTAAATCATAAAAATAAGTAAAAAAGGATGGAGAATTTTATCAGATTGTAGACAGAATTTGTTCAGTTGAAGAATGCAGACCTGTTACAGAATGAAGAAAGCACGTGTCCCTTTAAGGTTGGTGAGGTGATTAAGAGGAATCTGAGCTTTAGGAACAGTATGGTCTGTGACTGGAGGTTTTGGATTCATATACTATAGCAGAAAAACAATCACATCACCAGAATCTTTATCAGTCTTAACTCTATCCCTATGCCTATCCCTTTGAGTGATGCAAAAAATTATTATTGTATACATATAGAAGAATATAAAGGGACCAGAATCCAAACAATATCAAACATTTATGTTTAAAAGTTTATTTCTCCAAGATTTCTCCAGATTTAAGGGCTGTCAATTTTGCAAACTAAAAATGTCTTCATGCATGTCGTCATTTCATCGACAGATAAATGATTTTGTTCCAAATAAGTTTCTTTCTTAGGTAAAAACAAAAGATTATGGTATATATATATATATATGTGTGTGTGTGTGTGTGGAATAAATTCAAAATAGCTTCTCCGAGTTTGGAAGAAAGGATGGACAAATCAAACCTCACCTCACCACAGCTTGTAATGGAAGGAATCGCGTACAATGTATTATCTTTTATCTTTTATATACCTATAAGGAATTCTGAAATTGATGGTTTGAAATTTCAAAACTATGCTGACCCAAATTTCGGGGAAGGTAGTAATTGGGAATTGTCATTTTGGATGGAGAATAATTCCCAAATGGATGGGTAATAAGCTTGACCCATGTATTTCAGGTTTGCTATTCTTTTGGGTATATAAAAAGAATCTAATAACCATTTAAATGTCATTTAAATTTGGTCGGAGGTCTATGGATGAGGACTTCGGTTATTGAATGCATGGATTTCTTTTATGGATAGTTTTTATAATCCATATTTGAGGATTTGGATGGTTGAATCTCCCTCGTTGCACCTCTTTTAATTTGTTTAGACGATAGAGTATCACTTACGAATTCTAATATAATTCTTATAGATAAATGGGTTTTCATCCGTACACAGCCATTGATCTATTATTAAAAAAAATTTAAAAAATAATTAAAGTTTAAATCTACAAATACACTTAAAAACAAAGAATAATACGATACCTTTTCTTCTAATCAACTTAAAAAAAAGATAGAGGACTTAAATCATTTTTGAATATTCTCCAAAAGGACAATAGACTATATGAGTTCGACCCCGAGGAACCATTTAAGTTAATTAGTGCTTATACCTAAGTTCGGGATGTACAAAATTATTCATAAATCTTGTACGTTATAAAATTCAAACGTGAAAATTGTAATATTTTTATATAAACTATTTTATCATTTATGACAACATAATTTTCGGTCCAATTATGGACTTGAAAGGTGGCATCGAAAAGTTATACTTTGGTAATAGTATCCCTTCTTTCGTCAACTAATGAGAATGTTAAAGGTGCAAAATTCTTTCATTTAATTCATTACTAACCTCAAATGGAATAATCAAAGATTTATAATTACAAATTATTTATCTAATATTGTAGCTAGACACTTGAATTCTTGACTTATACAAGTATAATAATGATCAACATTAATCTAATTTTCATATACTTTGATCTAATGGTATAAAATTTATTCTAAAATTTCTTTTTGTGCTCAAAAACATATTCTTTGCACTAGGGCCGCCCCAATCATTAAGCCGATAAAATATGGGGTTTAAGTCCCACTTTAATGAAGATTGATTTCAAATGGAAAAATTATAAATAAAATATAAAAAAATTATTATTTAAAATATAAATATTACATATAAAATTAAATGCCTAATTTTCTGTATTACAAAACCTCTTCAGACACAATCGAATTATTGCTAGTTTTTGGATATGATAGCATAAGATTTTGTTCTTGGACTTTGGTGGGTATGCAGGCATTGGTACAGGTCATCATATGGTTAGGCAGTGTCACTCAAAGGCGTGTGGCTAACGTAGTGGTGTGGAAAATTTTACTTTCCTTGAAGGTACCATGAACGTGCTCTGTGAACGCAGACGTGTGGAGGGTGAAAGCAACGGCACTGTAGAGTTGCGATTTTCGTGTGTTAATTGTAGCATGTGACACCACCAAAATTAAAGCGCTAAAGTCAAGTCTCATAGCACGTTGTGCCAGTGCTCCACTTTGGTTGCAGTCACTGTGGTCCATCGAAGAATATAATAATGCCTTAAAAAGTTTATAATATAATGGATTCCAGACAAGTGAAAATGTTCTTACGAAAAAAGAGAGAGGGTAATGGTCCTGTTTGGAACAGAGGTTTGAAAAGTAAATGAAAATGTCAGAATTAAAAAAATTATTAAAACTGTTTTAAGTGTTTTCGAAAAATTTGATTTTTTCTTAGAAGTCCCCGGATAATCCTCATTTTTTCAGCTTTTACTTGGTGTTGATAAAAGTTATTTTTGTCAAAAAAATTGATAGAAAAGTCACTCAATAAACCCGAATCCAAATTTCTTTTCCTCCAAAACAAACAAAAAAAAACCTTAAATATTTAATCTAGCTTTGAATTGACCTTATGTAAGAAAGGCGGATCATCTATTGTGTATAGGTGACAAACCCACCCATATAATGAATTACACTTGAGTTTATGGTGTTTCATTTATCATTGAATGAAATTAAAAATAAAAAAAAAATCTGATTTTATAAGGGAGAGATTCTCCGTCAAGGGGAAGATGCCACGAAAGAGAATGTACGTTCATGATGTTGGGTGGGGACTCGAGAGTTGGGGGTTCAACTAGGGTTGGGGTGGTGGATTTTGTTGGAGATAGAGGTTGAGGTGGGGTTTTCGGCCGAGTTGGCAATGGTGTGGGGTTTACTTGGAGGATGGGGTGGTTTATGGCGAGAAGGTGGTGGTTGTCCATGAGAGAATATACAAGGTATTAATGTTATTTTATAAATGTTGTGAACAAGATAACACTAAACATTACTAATTTACAATCATATCAATATCACATAATCATCACAACAGTCATTAGAGTGCCGCAAGAACATAATGTCTTACTTTTCAACGCTAACTCTTTATTATTTCGATTTTGATTCTCTTCATTGGCTTCATTCATCAAAATGGTAATATTCTTGCAATCCAAGAAGGTACATGCCTGCCATCATTTCCTTTTTTTACGTCTTTCATCTTTTTTGTCATTCCTTAGCGTTTAGTCTCTTATGGAATTTTGATAATAACAAAGTAGGCCCCCTTGTCTGTTGATTTATTTCAAAGAGTCGTTACTTGTTCTAATTTTGTCATCCTTTGTACAGTGCTTCCGCCCACTCCTACTGACTACATAATATTTGCGCATGTGGTTCCCTGTGCTCCCACTTCTTTCTGCCCTTTTTCCACTTTCTTTTCTGGGTAGGTGAGGTGGTGAGTGGTTTCATCCTGCCTGATTAGTTTTCCCCTTCTTTACTTTCTTATTTTTTGTGTGCGTTTTTTATCCAATATTTATCTACAATTACTCACAAAATATATGCATGCGCACACAATCACTCGCGAACTAAGTGAATGATGTCACTCAAAAAAATCTTGAAATTGGATAAGATAGTAAACCTCAAGACGTTCTCATATGAGTCACCCTGAACATTTAGTGAAAGAGTCTTAAAATTGAGCAAAGAGTTAATAATATTTTTTATCGTTAAAATATGTATTTTTTGTCAGTTTAATCCGTATTGTATCAATTTTGTCTTTAAAGTATTTAATCTGTGTCATTTTGATCCCTAATCAGACAATTCGTCATCTTAAACCAACCTTATAATCACTTAAATTTTGATATAATTTCACTTTCGGACTAATAAATGTAAATGG